GAACCCAAGACACAAATGTGGGACCGATGTTCATCTCCTTGAGTACGTCGAAGAGAAAGCCTTGGTCAACCATATCGTATGCCTTGGAAAAGTCGAGAAACGTCGCGTAGTAGTCGTGGTCTTCATTGGTACAGAAAGTCTGCAATGCTTGTACCAGCATCACGTGGTCGTGCAAGCGACGGCCAGGGACAAAACCAGCTTGGCTTGGGTGAGCGAGGTATGGGGCAACTTGTGCAAGACGGTAGGCCAGCGCCCGCGATAGAATCTTGACTTCAACCGACATGAGAGTAATCGGCCGATAGTTGCCAGGGTCGCCTCTGTCTCCAGCCTTGAACAAGAGCGCCACTGCACTTCGGCGTTGTTGGAGCAGGAGGTGACCGTGATGGGTGAGTTGGTAGTTGAACACCTTGAGCAGGATTTGGGCGAATACGTCCGGGGAGACTTGAAAGAAAGCTGCAGGCCAGCCGTCTGAACCAGGAGACTTGTTCGGGTTCATAGACTTGAGCGCGCCGCACAGGTCTTCCGCCGTGAGAGGACTTTCCAGAGCGTCGCGCTGTTCTTGAGTGAGACGTCGAGTAATGGCTCGAATGATAGCTCGGCGACGGGCCCGATTCAACGGTGGTTGGTCTCTTGGAGTGACCATGATGTTTTTCCAATGAGACGTAAAACCAGCCTTGACTTCAGACGGGTCAGTCGACGTTACACCGTTGATTGTCACGGACGAGAGCGGCACTTTGATCCCCTTGGGTCGACGAAAAAAGTGACTGGTACCTCGCTCGTTGACGTTGGCGTGAAAGTCGAATTGCTGATCCAGGTTGAACTGTCGGTACTCGCTGCGGGCAGTGTCAAGGGCTTGACGGGCGGTATTAACAATGGATGTCTCAACGAGTCCCATGTCGAATGCTCGGCGGGAAGTAAGCCACTTCATCTTGAGGCTGTTGAGTGTGTACTTCATCGAGTCAATGTACTGGCGATGACTGACTTGGAGACGCTTCTTCATTCTCTTCAACCAGCCGTACCACTTTGCGCCAAAGTTTTGAGTGTCGTCTGCGCGCATCTCGTCCAAAAGTTGATTGGCTTCGGCCTTGATCGCTGCGACTACTTGAGGGTTCTTTAAGAGCTCACGGGGAGGCGCCAGTAACTTCGGTCGGGAGCTCGCTGCTCGCAGGAGAGGACCACTTTGTGTTCCATGTGGTCGCCTGCAAAGCTGCTTGGGGAATAGCTTGAACGTGCGTACGTTTGAGCGACGATATCTTGGTCCACAAACAGGTAGTCGAGGCGGTTGCTTCGACCAGGGCCGCTGTAAACGCGCTCGTTGGGGTGGTGCATCCTCCACGCATCGATAACACCAAGTGCTGAAAGCCAGGCAATGCATTCCGCCTTACCAGCGTTGTGGTCTTGGCGAGGTCGAGTCGCGTCCAGATGCTCTTCCAGGGGTAAGTTGAAATCGCCTCCGACAAAGTGAATGCTGTCGTCTTCAAAGTCGCGAGGCAGATCGTCGAAAAACGGTGCTCGAGAGTGAGCGATAACCGGGGCATAGACGTTGTGAAAGTACACAGGAACGCCGTCCCACTGAGTTCGAACAACCATGTATCTTCCAGGTCGGTCATGGGTGGTCAAGTGTTGCAGGTCGAGGAATCCAGGCATGGATCCATGGAAATACGATGCCACACCGCAGCGCCGATTGTTGAGTGAGTCGACGCGATCAGTGCGGAGATCGTTGGTGAAGAGCTTGTATTTGCCAACGCCTACTTCGTTGTTGAGGTGGAGTTGGAAGGTTTCGAGATGTTTGATGTTATTGATTTTGGTTTCTTGAAAGAAAACGGCTTGGGTCGGAATTTGGAGTCGCCGCGCCACAAGATGTCCGTTGTCTTTCAGCCCATTGAGGTTGGCAGTGGTCAGTTCGAGTATGGGGAACTTGGTGAAGAGACCGGCCGCGACCACCTTAGCCACGGAACGCGACAGACGTTGCGTTCGCAACATCTCCCAGCATGAGTGTCTGAGTGTCGGGTTGGAACATCACTTGGTTGTCGAAGGTGGGGTCCAGGGAGCCAGCCTCATGGAATTCCAGGATCGTGGTCAAGACGTATCGCGACTTCTCGTCTTCGCCGGCATACAACGTTTCCATGATATTCCAAATCAAGAGGCCGAAGCTCGTGTCAAGCAATATGGCAGATAGCGATACGCCCGACAAACAGCGGGAGCCCAAATGAGAAGCCAGTGCAGTGACCGGGTACTTGGTAGAGGCCACGATCGCAGCATCACTGTTGTAGTACGTTGGAGCATGAATGGCCAAGAGAACTTCTGCCACAGCCAACACTTCTTCCAGGTCGCCGCGGTGGAGGGAAATCTCGTCGCCGTCAATGGTAGTATCGATGAAGTCGATGTTCTTGAATAGCTCGATGTTGCTGAAGATGGCTTGAACGTGCTCGCGGGTCATACGCACACCCCACGTCAATGAGTACAGCTGGGAGAACGGTTTGTCTCCACCCCAAGTCGCTCGAAGCCACCGATGGAGGAGGCGTTGTCTCACAAAGTACTCAAAGCATGCACGGTCTTCATCAAAAAGTCGGTGCAGTTGCAAGCCAAATTCAATCGGGGAACGCTCGAGATGGCTACACAGCATGTCGACGCGGCCGTCGTTGATGAGTTGGGCAAGGTTGAACGAGCTGTTGGTCACTGCATCTTCGACTTGGGTTGAGAGATGCAATGGAACTTTGGCTGTCTTGGTGTCGAGGTCTTGTAGTTCGGCGAGAATTTCGTCAAGAGACATTTCTATGCGCTTGGGAACGCCATCTTGGATCTTGGTGCCGCCGACAAATTGACCGGACGTAGGGAGGTGGGGAGGGTCATCCGAGACGTCCAGCTTGGGTACAATCGTTGAGATCTTGTAATCGCCAAACTGAGCAACGTGTTCCTCGGGGTTGACACACACACGTTCGTCGAGGGCTTCAAACATGTTGGGCGAAATCCAAGAGCGGCCATGCTCGGGGGAATCCACTTGCTGTTGCGTCTTCTTGCGCTTGCCTCTCGACGCCTTGACGCCAGTCCACTGCGGAGGGTTGGCTTGCGCAGTTTTCCGACGTTTTGGCGCCTTGGGAGTCGAAGAAGGCGGGTTGGTTGGGCTGGGAGCTGGCTTGTTCAATCCATATTGGCGGGACGTTGCATCAAGGTCCAAACGAACCAAGTTCTTGTCACGAAAATACCACCCTTGACCGTACACGCGGAGACAACGGCCCTTGAAAAGAATTTCTTCGACGAGACGGCCGTCGCGCTGTATGGTCGTTGGTACGGAGGTTCCTTCAAAGTAAAGGCGGTACCGAGAGCTCGCCATACCGCTTGAAGAGGAAACGTTGGGGTAGGAGCCCCACAGGAAGCGTGGCTCCAACTTGGTCATGACGTCGAAGATCAGGCGCTCTTCGTCTTGATCTTGAAGGCCTTGAGGGATGTCCATGAAAAATCCGCCGAGGACGTGCGGAACGTTCATCGTGAAGTGTTGGGACGAGCCATCTCGAGCGACTTGAATCTTAAACGCGATGCCTCGCAGCTTCGTCATCGCTTCGTGAGAGGCAACACCCCACTTGAGCATGCGGTTCGGGATGTCCTTCTCGCATCTCACAATGTCAGCAATCGCAGTGTCGAGGCCGAGGGCTTGGTTGTCGAAAAGGATCGATGCCATGGCAGCTGAAACATCGATGGTCTTCGTGTGTGCACCCGTGGGCATCTGCAACCAGCCGACGATGCCGCGCGCCGAGTGCTTCTGGATCGGGAGGGTGTCTTCAAACGTGAGGGTTCCAGCAGCACGCTTGCGAAGGAGGGGTTCGAGTTCCTCCATCGTGGGCTGGTAAGGAGCAACGTCCTTGGTCTTGATGGCCTTGGCAGACTGAGACCGCTGTTGCGCTTGGAAGGCCCATACGTCGTTGGGGGCCTGGCGGTTGTTGGGTTGGCCACGGCCAGGTGTCTGGGCTCCGCCAGATTGAGAAATGTTTTCCAAATGCGATCCGGGTGAAGCCTGAGACGACGGCTGGCGGACTGAGTGAGAGTCCGAGTCGTGCGTCAGACCAACACTCAAGCGTGCGTCAGAGGCTTGGTCTTGTCCGGACCCTGTCCCATGGTGGACAGAGTCACACGTTTGACCTTCACTCGCGTTGGACTTCGAGAAGCTTCCATGGGTGACTTGGTCTTGAGTATTCCCATGACCAACACTGGCCACAGGGTTGTTCGCGATTGTTCCAGATCTTGCCCGATGATTCTTCGAGAAGAGACCATCACTCATGGAGCGACTAGTCTCGATGGGATCTTGACCTGTCGCCAGAGTGGACTTGTCGCTCGGGGGATTCTTCGAGAAGGGACCTTCACTCAGGGATGGACTGTTCTCGAATCTTCCTTGACATGTCGTCATGTTGACGTCGGTGCTTGAGCGAGTCTTCGAGAAGCCACTATCACTCGTCGAGAGAACATTCTCGAAAGGAACAGAACCCAACGGAGTCTTGCCAGGCAAGCCACCATCACTCACGATGGACGTGGTTGATGGAGATTCTTCGGGCAAGGTCGTTGACGTCATGAGCACATCTTCCGAGGTTGGAACGCCGTCTTGCCAGGCTTCGTCGCAAGTGTCAGAGGTCGTTGGATCATTCGCGGGATCGCAAGCCTTCGTCGAGCGAGTCACAGGCAAGGGTTCAAAACGGCGCGGTTTCGAAGGGGTTGCACGTTGACGTGGAAACGGAACGCGCGTTGGAGTAGGGAGCGGATTCGTAGACGCGTCATGATGCGAAGCGTTGGAAGCATCGTCGACGTCCTCTTCCAACGACGACGCCATGTCGGTATCGCTTGGGGATGGGTCAGCAACGACGATGACGTCCATATCGCTGGGGCTGGACGCCGAGGGAGAGAACGCGGAGGAGCAAGATGGGGCACGAGGGTTGGTCGAGCGGGTAGCAACCATATTGTCAGATAGCGTAGAGTGGTACTGCGGGGTAGCTGGCAAATTGGAAACTGGGGGTCGTATAGCTCAGTCGGTAGAGCATGGTGCTAATAACGCCAGGGTCCTGGGTTCGAGCCCCAGTATGACCAACGTTTTTTCCCCTTTTCTCCGATTTCGTCCTCTCCTCTCAACATTCTTGCCTTTCCTTAGGATTCCTCCTGTATTCTTCTCAGCTCTTACTAGTCACCTCATGCCACGTCCAGCACGAAAAGATGTGCTCACCTCTACGCACATATGGATAAGACATTCCTTGAATCTCTCTTTCACGGACTGTGGTCCATCTGCAGTGTCCATCTATACTCTTGACAAGACAAATGCAGTCTTGTTTTTGTTCTGTTGAGTCTCTTCGCGAGGCTTGCTCCAAACGCTCGTGTGTTTACGATGGTTGACACATCGAGATACGCCGACATGTCTTGATGTAGTCATGCAATCGTTTGCAATGATCTCTGAGTCTGTGAATTTCATTTGAATCACCTCAACGTGGCAGCCAAGGCATGCATCCAAAATACATGTAAATAGGAATCTACACGGATAAACAAAACGAAGCATCTCGAATGGGATCGACAATCTTTTCAAGATCGTGTAGCTTTGCCTTCACAAAGCTCTGTCCTGGCTTGTTGGCGTTATATGAATGAGCCACTTGACAGTGGTCGACAACGACGATGAACTTTTCTCCATACTGAAGCAAAGTATTTGAGTTTTGATAAGAAATTTGACCCGCCGAATATGAATTTCATGAGGATTTGCATGCAATAAGAAATAACTTGGAAAACATTATAGCGTTTGAGAAACATGACTTTAAAGACGAAAATGTAGGTCAAAACTCTCTGCTAATAATAACGTTTATAATTAAATAGTATGCGTGTAAAAGGATATGGACAGAGGACACGAGGAATGAAGCTTGGGACTGTCGAGGGCTGACGACGAGCGGATGCCAAATTGAATTGCGTAGGTTTTGTTTTGTTGGGAGAGTGGATGGTGTGTGGGATATGTTGTAGGTTTCTTTTGTGTGTGGAAAAAAAGTGTGTGTGTCAATGTGTTTGAGAACGTGTGTTGTGTGATGTGGTGTGTATGGGAATAAGTATAATAGGTCGTATAGCTCAATGACAATCGGGGTATATTTGACCTTTAACCCCTATAAATATTTGCCTAGACGACCCAATGGGGAACAAGGACTACTAAGTTCTACTCGAAAGCCACTTGAATCGTTGCGTGAGTTCGATTGAGCTCTTGCATTGTCTTGAAATCTTGAGACTTCTTTACACAAGTGTCGCTCGCAAGTTCTTCTCCCAAAACCAAGTGTAGTTGGTATGAGACTTGAGTTTTTCGACTATCTCGGAGACTTGCATTGCTTCATCACTGTCCATTGTAGGATCACGGAGCATTCGTCTGATATTTGCGGTCCACGAAACAAGAGATACTTCCTTGACCGCCTGGATGTATGGCACTGTTTTGCCTTCAAACTTGGTTCGATTGCGATGAATCCAAAAGTCCCGTAGCAAAGATGAAACGAGAAGGACCCACAAACGACGAATCACTGAAAAATGAGACACCCATTCTTCAGAAACCGCGAATTCGTCGAGGTTGATAATCGTATTCCATGTAAATGGAATACCAAACGGCCGCCACGCTGCTTGATGCCAATTCCACACAGGCTTGACAAACTTGCAGTCGAACAGGATGTGTTGTATCGTTTCGACGGCTGAGCAACCAGGAAAGGAGCATTCGATAATGCTAGGGTTGGTGTCTTGAAGGAAAAAGAAGCGAGAGTTGACGGGTAGCATCCGAAACAAGATTCGCCACCACACATCGGCTTGAACAGGAGTTGGATATCGCATCAAAGGTTTCACAGTCTTGTTCATGTATTTCTTGATCGCCAAATCATTGTTTCTTGAATCGCTCGACAAGGGGTGCTGTTTGGTGAGTAGTGGCGCGCAAAAGCAAATCGATCGGATGTACTTGCGCGGCCATTGTTGAAAAGGAACAAAGACATTCTTCCAAACTTGTCCGACGGGGATTTGAACTTCATGATTGGGAGGCACAGCTTCCACGAGAGGGATACCCAGTACTTGCCATACAGTGGTCGCAATGAGTGAAAGCAGGGAATACAAATGGCGAAACACGCGTGGAAAATCATCGCCAGGGAACCGCCAAACGTAAGGCTCCATTTGCAACTTGAATTCTTCATAGGAGGGCCACACGCGTTGTGTGGTGACGAAATCGTCCAAGCAATGCAAGCCTTCTTGGGCGAGGAACTTGTAGAAGGGACGATGATGTTTGAGGGCGACAGCAAGCGAGGTTGGTCCATTGGAACCAGGAACCAAAAACAGCGGATGAATTTGCAGCCAAACAGACATGGTAGGGAGCTGAGATTGTGTCGGCGTTTCAGGACATTTGCGCGTAAGGGGGATACGATGCCAGTTGGCCCAGATTTTCCGCCACAACAAAGGGAGTACTTCAAGTCGCATGTGATTTGTGTTGTGGTTGGGATGATACATGAGGCAGTCCCACGACGAGTATCTTGCGAACGGCTCCATGCACCTTCGAAAGAGCTGCTTCGGGAGAACAGACCATAACGATGGTTCTTCGTTGTCGGTCTGAACAAGGAATTGAAGTCGCTGAACACGTTGAGCACGAATTCTTGACGCAATATGCGGAATCCTGAGACCCAGGCTGGGATGATACGCCACGCCAGAGTTGATCAAGGACATGTGCTTGTCTTCCTTGTGTCGCTTTCTTGTCAAGATGAACTTGTACACCATGGACTGCCACTTGGCGACCGAGTCTTCAGGGAGGTCGTATAGCTCACTGCAATGGGGAGGTATATTAATAGACTTTCAATATCTACTAATACTAATATTGCCTACTAACGGCTCATCCCACTTCCAAATGCTTCAGCAGATTTTCTACTTTGGGCTTTGGAGTACAGCGATTTTTGACTTGTTGAATAAATACTTGGGGCTTGTTAATTTGGGGCTGAAGGTTGGAGCGCGAGCAAAGTCGGGTACTTGGCTACCAGTGGGCGATAGACAGGTTGTCTATGCAAAGTATTGATTGCTGAAATTGCTTCCACTCGTTGAGGGCTGTCAACTTCTTGGAGGCGAAGCCATCTGCGGATCGATGCATGCCATCGGATGAAGCTGACTTCTTGCCAAATTTCTGGCGGAGGCGGCTCCTTCGATTCGAACTTGGCGGCGTTGTGCGTTGTCCAAATATAGTGAAGGTTGGAAGCACACAGAAGAGCCCAGAGCACAAACAGTATGTCTTGAAGCTGGCTACCGCGTTCGTTGACTTGAAAGCGGTCGATGTTGGTGATGGCAGTCCAATCGAAATTGACACCGAAGCATCGCCAAGCGGTCGCGTGAAAACGCCAAAGGGGATACACGCGAGAGCAGGTGTGGAAGGCGTGGTGTTGGTTCTCCGGTGCGTCGCAATTGGTATAGACACAGCAAATTACGTCTGGCTGCTGAGGTTGCAAGTAGAACAAGCGCGAGTTGACAGGCAGCATGTTGAACAACAGTCGAAACCAAACGTCGCCATGGAGGGGAGGCGGCCAACGGCATGTTTTGCGGATGAGTCGCACGTAGGTCGCAATATCTTGTTGCTCGACGCGGGACGATGTCGCCACTGGGTGCGGTTTTCCATCCGAAGGGGCGTGATGCGCCAAACGTGATACGAGTCGCTTGGGCCAACGCTCGAAGGATAGCAATTGATCTTTGAAAAGTGCCTTGAAAGGGTGACTTGTTGTATCGATATCGGTCAAAGCAGTTCCAGTTCGAACGCCAGACGTGCGGAGGACTTGGTCGAATATCTTGGTGAGGTGGCTATAAACTTGACCAGCACGTTCGGGTGCTGCAAATCCCATCGCGCCGTTCGCTTGTAACGTCACTTGTGCCGCACGGTTGTTGGATGACAGTCGATCAATAAACGCAGCTCTTGTAGGCCATGTCCCTTGCCGTGTCAAGAAGTCTTTGAGGCAGTGGAAACCGTTTTGAGACGCATGTCTACACCATCGACGACACAGAGCAGTCTTCACGACATTTGATGTAGCACCCGCAGGACCAACTTGCAGAGCGGGGTAGGATGTCAGCCACACGGGGAGGTTCAAAAGTTCTTCGAGGCTTGGTGGCGAAGCGGTTCGCTTGGCCATAGGTGTGGCGGCCCATTGATGCCAAATGTCGTGCCAAAGAGGATGCAGCTCCCACAAAAACAACCACTTGGAGCTGTGGTTGGGGAAGTACGTGAGAAAGTCGAACGGGTGGGTGTCGCGATACAGCTTGTTCATGACACGGGAAAATTGTCTCTTGACAAGCAACTTCCATGGGGCAAATGTGTTGGGTGAATTGGGCTGCATCAAGAGTTGGAGCCGCAGCAGTCGCTGAGTCCGAAGCTTCGAAGCCACATGCGGAATACCGAGGCCGAGTTTTTGATCGAACTGCCACTTGCGGCAAATAGTTGAGCGATGATGGTCGGTGATTTGCGTCTTCCGACCAAGGATGTACTTGTTGACCATTCTTTGCCAAACGGCAACCATCGTTGGAGGCACATACACTGCAGCCGTGACATGCCATAACAACGACAACAACATGGTCGATACGATGAGTTTGCGGCCTTGGATGGTTCGCGCACGACTTCCCCACGTTTGAAACGCAGCCAGAAACTTGTCGTTCAGTTGCTGGACTTGAAAATCGCGCGGCAGTCGGTGGCCAAAGAGAATACCAAGGTATTTCACTGGCTTCTCGCTCGGCAAGACGTTCAAGAGGCCACCATCGTCGATGTCTTCGATATCGAGATTGTTGTTGAGCGCCAAAGTCATGCACTTGGCAACGTTGAGACGAGCTCCAGACACAGAGCAAAAGTCTTCGACAATTGCCATTTGCTCGACCGCCGCTTGGAGGGATGACGAGAGTAGAGTCGTGTCGTCGGCAAAGTAGATGCTCGTCAGTGAGTCTCCATTTGGAAGGGGAATACCAAAATCAGGAGATCCGCGTAGCATTTCGCCGAGTGGCTCGAGGTAAAGTACGAAGAGCATGCACGATAGGGGGCAACCTTGCTTGACTCCGCGGGTAGGCCGTATGGTAGGGCCAAG